TAGCCTTGTTGCTTGTCCTAGCCATTGACACACGTTGTCGAGCGTTTTTCTTTTTTATGTGAATGCCCCCGGAACAACATCATTAAAGCATCTACAGCAACAACTCGCATTAAAGCACACGCACGACTGCACAGTGGTTCTAAGCTACAGTGATTTTTTAGGAAAGGTTTGCGAATGAATGTATAACTTAATGCACCCTAATTTCATGTTAAAATTACAAAACAAATATAATAAAATAATCTTTTAATCTTAATTTCTGCAAAAGGAAGTTATACCTTTCTTTCAACCCTTTGAAAGCAATCAATGAAATCACTGGAGAATAAAGATTGAATTTCATTTTCAATTTTGTCCAACAAAATATTCAATTTAATTTCTGATCCAATATATTTGCTTTACAATTTTTATTTGCTCAAAATTGATATGGAATAATTTATAACAGGAACCACAGTGCCGCTCATCCGCCCATAAGAAATGCCGCGGTTTCATATTTTTTTTTTATTATTTTGCACATCACACATACCACACGTTAGCCCTGCCACCCTTGCACCTCCGCTCACACGTGTGGGTGGACAGAAAAAAATGCTGTTATGAAATGAAAATCTTTTAAAAATTCCTTGACCCGAAAGCAAATAGCAGCGGTGCAGGTCCCCGACAGAGGGTCGGTTGAGTAAACAGGCAAAGCTGCCTAGAAACTGAACCTGAACCAGAAACAGAAACTGGGATCTGGGACCTAGGACCTCGCTAGCAGGATTGTGTTAAAATATGCATGGCCGTGGACATCAATCAAAAATGCGGAGCACCCTGTGGATGCTGCCAGCCTCAATTGACGCTGCTCACAATTCATTGAGGTAGGGTGCAGGGGGTGCAGGGGGTGGTGGGTGTGTTGGGTGTTGGAATTTTCAATTTTGTCTTGCGGCAGAATTTATTAAATTGTTGTGGTCGCTTCGTTGTTTGCGAACCATTGCCATAATTTATGTGTAGAAAATAATGTCAGGACCAGTTCCATAGAGACGTTCTTGCTTCCAGCCACAGAGCAACAGTTACCGCTGGAACAACTCTCACAGCTTCTGTTTCAAATGCCACCCAGAATCCTCCCCTCTATCTCCTTCCCGTTCTCTCTCTTTTTCTCTCTTCCTCTCTCTCTTTCTCTCTGTCTTCCTTGATTTCCTCCAGTTTCTCGTTCCAGCTCGTTAACAGGCATTCGAGCCCCGGCGCCAACGTATCAATCAAATGGAAGATCTATCCACAACGGTCACAATGAATGAGCGATGGGCGTGACGTAATCGACTGGGCGTTGCAGGTGGGGGGCGTGGCATTATGCTGATATTGGAATGGGATGCCCGATTTTGATTTGTTATTCTGGCTTTTTGTTGCTGCAGTCGAAATTTGAAAATGACTACAATTGTAATTTAAGTTTATGTCTCGCTAATGTGCTCAGAATTTTTCGCATAATTCTTCCCATTATTAAATGAGTATTTACTAGGCAATAAAGCTAAGATTTCTTTTTGCTTCTGCCACTTCAACCAAAACCAAATTAAATTAATATGCAACAGTGATGAAGAACTGTTGAAAACAACATTTATTTACACCTTAAAAGAAGGGTCAATGCTTTTGAGCACAAGTCCAAATCATATTTGATTATAAAAGGGAAATGTTTTGCTTAATTAAAAAAGTTAGAAATCATTGCTTATACAACCTTTGAGACTGGCTGGGGAATCTGCGAAAGTAATCTCCCAAATTCGTAAGGAATTTTGATAAACAACAAATTTGTTTGCCACTTTCTACTTTTCGCAAAGTATGCATTTATAAAAAAAGTTTTTTATACTGTGAATTTTTCAGGTTAGGCATTGAAAAGGCACTTAATGTGTTGAATATTAAAGTACCTATAAAGCTTTTATTGCAGCTTGAATCAAATTAAAATAAATTAAATTGAAACATATTGTACTATGAATATTCTAGGCTAGATTGGCTTTAATTGCAGCTTGAAACAAATTAAAATAAATTAAATGGAATACTGTACTATGAATATTATTATAAGATTTCAATTCTATTTGATAAATTAACGGCTAGTTATGTAATGAGTTCATTTGAAAAAGTTATGTATATATAAACTATATGAAGCTTATAATTTAAGCCCGTCATAGTGACGAATATATATGGGCAAGTTCTACCGTATCTCTTTAACGCTTACCGTCCTTTAGCAAGAGTTCAATTTACTTGCCGTAACAGCCCCGAGAGCTGCACTTCACTTTTTTTAAACGCCACTTCCAAAGGATTCACGCATTTTGTCGAACAAATCGAGCGCATAGAAACTTAAAGTTGCAGCTCATAAAAAAGAGGCAAATAGAGGGAGAATGCGAGTGCGAGTGAGTGAAGTTGAAATGGGTTCAGAGTGGGGCAATTTGCTAGTCGTTGCAACGCATTTGCTGTGGGCATTAGGGCTTTTAGTCTCGTTTTGTTTTATTGCCTATCCACCTATGCATTAGGCCATTTTGTGACCAGATCTCCCATCGACCACAAGTGAACTGCACCATTTTCATGGCACATTTTCATGGCGTAGGTGGCAGAGGAAAATGTTGAATATTGCGCATACGCCGTTGCGGGCGCTGCCTTATCGTGAAAAGCATTGGCAGCTAGACACATGCACAGCCCAGGACATGAGCATGCATATTTATGAGCCTTGGCTAAGGACACTGCTTATTGGACTTTGATGTGGGGCGTGATTTATTTTTCGAGTCCTTGCAACAATGTTGACAGACATGCTGGAGAGAGCGAAGGGTATTAAGAGTCGTGTGCGGGATTTAAGATATTTCCTGCAAATATGGAGTGAATAAGGCTTAAATTGTAGGAAGTTCCGCAAAAAACATGGAGCAAAATATTGAAAAGGATATAAAGTAAAGTCTAAAACAAAATATTTAGAGTATAAAGCTTAAATTACAGGTTGTTTAGTATAAAGCTTGTGTTTTGTTAACTGTCCGACGCTTATGACGAAAAACCAATTAGACTGAGAAAAAATGGTTTTCGAGGTGGCATAACATTTGCTTCGTGCCACATTGCAACTGTCGGTCACGTACCACATGCCACGTTCTTCATTGGCCCCATTTGACAGATATTGACAAGCTTCCTTTATTGACAATATTGCCCCAACAATGGAGTACGCTTCAATCTGTCTAGTTGACAATGCACAAAACTAGTGCGATTCTTTAGTGCTGTCATTTGACCAAATAATGTTAGTGTTGGGTGTACAATAAAATTGCCCGCAATTTGACATTTGATAGTGTCCTTAAAAGCGGGCGAAAAATATAGCAAAGAATGTGCCAAAAGATATTCTGGTACTTGACGATCTGCTTGATTGCTTTTAACGGCCACTTAAGTTATCTCATTGACATCACTCGTCTGACAAATGTCACCACTCGTTTAGCCAGCTCCGCAAATTAGGCAACACTTTTTGTGTCGCGAAGCCACATATAAATTGTGATGGTGTGAAAATGGCTAAATTATGCATATTAATTTTAGTCGCTTATCAGAGAAGGTTCAGCCCCACCGAACCAGAAGCTGAGAAATCGACTGTAAAATGCCCTGTGAAGGATTTTGGTTGTTCAATTAATCATACAATTCAATGATTTTAAATGTGAGTTGTTATTGCCTACAAGAGCCTATATAATTCATTTTCTCACAGTAAACTGTTTTTTTTTTTAGATACTTTTCAGGTTTATTAAATGATAAATATTTTTGTATAGCTTTCAAAAGATTTTTCTTTCGTTAATTTAAATTGCAAACATACTACAGGGTATAACCACTGGCCCTATAGAGATTAAGTTTTCACATCGGCCGGGCTGCAATTATACAACAATTAAAAACAAACGCTTGAGAACGTTGCAGAAACAGCGAAATTTACGGTTTGGGTCATGGTGGGTTGCTGGGAAACTACGGTTTTGGTGGTTACCCGCACACAAATTACTGCGGCTTAATTAATGGCCAAGAAATGTTTGTGCGTCAACAAGCAAAAGTTGAAAAAGCCTACCCAAACCAAAAAAAATAAAAGAAGAAATGAAGACGACACAAAGCTGTTGACAACAAAAAAAAGTTGTTTGGGGGGTGCGGACTGTGTAATGACAGGCGTTGACATCCCCTACGTGAGTTTAGCTTGGCTCAAAGCCGACGACTAGAAAGTGCCACAATTTCCAGGCACACGCAACGCTGCCGAAAACTCAGCTGCGGGTTTTGACGTCACAGCATCAGAAGCAACAGCCACAACGTGAACAGACTACTACAATACCCTTGCAAACTGGTTTGCAGCTACAAAGTCAATCAACTTTTAATTATTAATTTAAAAACTGAGTGATCATTCCTATATCAATTACCTGATGTTTAAAATGGGTTACCCAGAATTACACGCATACCTGGAGAAAAAAAAATGTTTTTCAAGAACAGCCTTGGCGCGATGTGAAAAATATTAGTAATATATTACAAATTAATTAAGAGCCAGCAGTCTTTCTCAGGTTTTTAATACCCTGTGCACATAAAACCGTGTGGCGACAAGAGACATTTGACTAAGCATCAATCTTTGGTGTGAGCAATATGTTGTAGTTGTGCCTTGTTTGTTGATGTTGCTGGCTTGTATGCGTGTGTGTGAGTCTGTGTGTGTGTATGTGTGTGTGTGTCATGTGCGACATGCTCGTAAAAAGCGTTTATTTAGCCACGAGCCAGGCAAGTGGCACATGACACCAACAACAACAATAACAAACACGCACCGACAAAATGGCGACGTGCCAAAACTCTGCTCTGGAAATAGGGGTTCTGCTTTTAAGCGTCTGAGGGTTGGCGTTTCTGCCCGGGTTTGCTTAGTATGGTAATGGTGATTTGGCTTTTACCACATCATTATGTCTTAACTGAAACTTGTTGTTGTTCTCTTTTTTCATTCTTTCTTTTTGTTGATGTTTGCTAACAACTCTTTCATGTCGTCTTTTTTTTTTTGGGTTTCTTCTCTTTTCTTTCAGGCTGCCAGTTTGTTAGGACGCTTTGCATATCCCACACCGAGGTCTGCTACGATGGTAAGTGAAGATACTATCTGCGAAAACAGTCGATTAACTCAATAGACTACAGCCAACCACAGCATCAGATTGTGTTTATGAAGTGTAAGCTGACTGTCTTTGTCAACTGATAAGTTGTGAAATATGACATAAAACATGGGTAATGCGAGCTTATGGAAATCGATACATATATTTAGGGTTACTTGCAGTTAATGGATTTGCAGCTCTTTTATTTTTTCTTTTGGCTAACTACAAATAAATAACGAGTTGAGACGGTACTTAAATTTCAAGGAATATCTGATTACTTGTGATGCTTTAGATACTATAAATTTAAATAAATGATCATTGGGAGAAATAAGAAGACTGAAGATATTTTTAAAAGCAAAGTAAATAATGTAAGACAACAATCGAGCTAGGGAACAACATAGTGCAGCACACTTGTGGCATTTCTGTACAGTTCGCTTCTGTTTTTGAACATTTGAACTAATGGCTGGTCTTATTTTCAAACCTGGTCTGGTTCTCAATTGCACTAAGTGCTCAGTAACATGCGAATGGGGCTCGCCATGCAATTTAAAACGATTTCACATACAAACAGAACTGTGCTTGTGGCACTCCCCTGTCGGGAAAGGGAAACGATTGCCATACAATTGCCAAAATGTGCTTTAGATTCGGTATACCACAAACTCCAATTGTGGGTCAACATGCAACGCTCACAATTGGGTTTAAATTTCTGTTTGCAGCCGTCCAAACCCAAGTATATTTGCGTATTTGCCGAGCACTACAATGCACCAAGTGCATTCAAAAACGGGGGAGGCGACCCAAACAAATAGTGAAATATGGTTTGAGTGCAGGCGTTGACTACGGCAGTGCATTATCGAGAACACACTCAATTACTTATGCAAGCACTGTGCGATTTTTGGAATTGCTACTGCTGTGGGGAGAAGTAGCGAGAACAATTGCATCAGCTGCAGCTGCTGCACGAGAAGACCTGCAAAATGTTTTGAAAATTGGTAAAAAGGAAAAAGAAATATTGACCTTAGAAGGGGGAAAATGAGCGCGCAGCCACACAAAACCCAAAAATATACACTCAACAGAAAATTAATTTCAGTTTTAACATAAAATATTTAGTGTTTTGATTTGGAAATTATTTATGTAAAAACTAATGGGTAAAATATATTAGAATACATTAAAAAATAACTTGCAATAAATTGCTAATAAATTTAGTTTTGCAAATTACATATCGATTAAGTATTTCAACTAAATTAAATGTTAAATATATGTTTAAAATCATTTTATATACAACAAATTAACTACATAATTAGGAATTAATTAAGGGTGTTTTATACTTGTGTTGTTAAAAAATGTTGGCTTGAAATTTCATAGAAAATGCGCAATAATTTATAAAATTTATATGCTTATGAAAATCTGATTTATTCATTTATGCGAATAACAACTTAATACCAGGTCTGTGAAAACAGGGCTTATTTATGCTATTATTGGCAGGAAAGCTAATATTTGTCTCAGTGTATGTAGACAGATGGGAGTGTTTGTACAGGTATTGTATGCCAGTGAACTGTGGTGGCAGTTTCTTCTCCCAGTCCGCATTTACATTATGCAAATGATGTTCGAGACAAGCCACAAGGATATGTATTTTAATGCTCGTAAATCAGAGTGAAAATAAAATGTTCCCAGAGGGGGATATGACATGTATTCAGGAGACGTAGGGAAGCGGGTAGAGAGAGAGAAAGAGAGAGAGAGCGGAAGGTTATGTTTGCAGCTATTGTAAGACATGGGCTATTAATACAGTTACGAGGCCTATTAAAATTGTGCATCATTTGCATTCCACAGACAACATCTTTGGCAAGTGCATACCAACCACTGGAGTCGACGTGGAGGACATTGAGAAGTAATTATCCTTGTTGCCAATTATGCATAATATTGTAAATGTAAATAGCATATGGAGTTAATACAATTCTTATTTATTATACAGGACACCACTCACCGAGGACCAATCTCGACTGTTGGCCACCATGTTGGAGGAGCTTCAGGGCGCCGGCTTAGGCTGGGATCATCATTATGTCCAGTGTCGCATCCAAGGAGCACTGTTCTCGCTGCAACGACAACAACAGTTGCCGCCGAATCTCTGCGCGAACTTAGCTCCATCGCCTCCCGAATACGCTGATCCTGCAAGCGCTTTGGCATACGTACGCTTCATACCACCCGAGCAGGAGCCGCAGCTGGACTACTATGAGCCGGAGCATGAGCAGCTTTATCCGATGAGCAAGAAACAATTGCAGAAAGGCGGTCTCGATAGCATCTTGCAACAATTACAGGTGCAGGAACGTCGTCGCTTGCGTCATGATCCGCTCGAACTGGAGCATTTTGGCAAGCTGGAGGGGCATGAAAAGAGCACACAACTGGAGCTACCAAGTGTAATGGATGCATTCCTCGATACAGAGCGGCAGCGCATGGAACGCGAACAACAATTGCGTCTAGCCGAACTGGATGCCAGCCAGAAGGCGGAGCAACAGAATCGCCTGGAATTGTATCAGATCTTGGCTGCCTCCGAGCCCGATCCGCAGCCCTATCAGCGCAACCAGCAGCCAGCGAATGCGATGGATCAACTGGAAGCGATTGTCGAGCAGCAACAGCAACAGCAGCAGCAGCAGAAACAGAAACAGCAGCAGGAACAAGATCAGCCGCAGCCAGCACCAGCCTATATGCCCGACGAGGTGAACGAGTCCAGTGAGCTATATTTTCCGGATAACTTTGCACCGCTGAAGCGACGCGTAGCTCCACACTCCTTCTTCCGTGAGTTGGCCAACGAGCAGATAACACCCGAATTGGTGAAGCGACGTCCAGACGACAACGAAGCGCAGGATCAGCAAATGGAGGCACAGGAGCTGGCATTGGAGTCCAGTTTGCGGCGAAATTCGCTGACACCCTTGGAGGAGGAGGCCATGTTGGCCTCCAATAGCTTCCCGCGCGCCCAACACAATCAGCGCGTCTACACCGAGGGTGGCATGCTCCTGATGCCACAGCTGCCCGAGCAGCTCTCCGAAGACTCTGCGCAGGCGGATGAGCCAGCGGACATGAAGCAAACATTGTTGGCCAACATGTTGGGTTTTGCCCGTCACGAGCGGTTGGATGTGAAGAAGCCAGGACCGCAGCTGGGTCCACCCGCAGAGCTGAGCAATCAAGTGGAGACGGACAAGCCGCGACGCCCGACGGACAATGTCAACAAGGAGGTGCTGCCTGCGCATATCAAGGGCGGCGATTCCAACGAGCCGTACAAGAAGAAGAAGGTCATCAAGGAGCAACACTCGGACGAGGATCATGCGCCGCACACCGTAGACACTGAATATGCTCATGTGTTCGTCAAGAACCCGTAAGCGAATACTTCAAATAAATCTTAATCATTTATCCCGTGTTAACTTATCCATTGTTGTATGCTTCTCTCTTGCAGCATTGACAGTTGGTACGATGGGCAGCGCATTATGAATGAGCTGGCGCAAATACTACACATGCAGGGATACTTTTCTTATTTAACGTATGTTTCCACTTGCACTGATCTAAATCCTTGAAATTTATTGACTCATCCAACTTGATTTCTAATTCAAATATTGCGACTTTCCTTAATAATCAATTGAATTCTAGAGTTTTGTTAAAGCTAAAAATAATATCACACTTGTTGCAGCGTTCAACCACACGAAGTAAGCTTCCGGGTGGACTCAAACAACCCCGATCGCAAGACGGCCGCCGATGTGGCACGCTACATCAACGAGAACCGCGGCGTCAAGAACAACATCCAGCGGCGCGTCGGTTTTTATGTGCTGTACGCCGGCGTCGGTGATCGTGTCAAGGATCTGCGAGATCCGAGCATCACTGCGTCGCACATTGAGCTGGCCGAACAGGGACCGGATGTGACCCACATTATGGCCTATATGTTTGCCGGCGCAGGTGCCGCGGCGGTGATTGTGATCTTTGTCACGTTGATACTGATCAAGCGGCATGATCGCAAGCGTGATAAGCTGGGTGGATTGCAATCGGGTATGACGGGCGCGGAGAGCTGCAGCAAGGACTATCAGGAGCTCTGTCGCGCAAGGATGGCCGGCAAAAATGGCAACGCAACGCCGGGCAATGGTGGTTCTGGTTCTGGTGCTGGCGGTGCTGGTACTACCGACCAGTCGCACAGCGGACGCATCACATCGCTGAGCAAGGAGAACGAAGCACGACCACCATCCTCACGCTCCAGCACTTCATCGTGGAGCGAGGAGCCAGCACTGACGAATATGGACATCTCCACTGGACATATGGTGCTGGTATGTGTAGACCCCCACTCCTCCCGTTCTTCAGCTAATTACCCGTCTTGCAGTCCTACATGGAGGATCATCTGCGCAACAAGGGACGATTGCAGCGCGAATGGGAGGCACTGTGTCGCTATGAAGCGGAACCCAGCGCTCGAGATGCCGCCTCCCAGCCGCAATGTGCTAATTTCAATCGTCCGGGCGCTCCGCTTCCCTATGATCATTCGCGGGTTGTGCTTAATCATTTGGCCAATGCTGAGGGTCTGGATTATGTGAATGCATCCACAATTGTGAGTAGTTCGGGTGTAACAATTTTCATAGAGTTGATCTGTAACAAAAGGTGTACTCTTCTATAGATCTCTTGCTCTTATAGACTCTGATATCTGATCTCTTCTCTCTCCCTCATAACAGACCGATCATGATCCGCGGGCACCCGCCTATGTGGCAGCCCAGGGTCCGCTACCCTCGACACTGGCGCACTTCTGGCAAATGATTTGGGAGCAGGGCGCCGTTGTTATTGTTGCCCTGTGTCGACTGCAGGAGAATGGAGAGGTTGCTTGTGCGCGATACTGGCCGGAAGAAGGTGCCGAGGTTTATCATATCTATGAGGTGAGCTGCCTTAAACCTCTTAACCAAAACTGAGTAACTAGCTTGCATATTTCATTTCAGGTTCATTTGGTTAGTGAGCACATTTGGTGTGATGATTACCTCGTACGTTCTTTCTACTTGAAAAATCTGCGCACAAGCGAAACTCGCACCGTCACCCAATTCCATTTCCTGTCCTGGCCGCAGATGGGCGTGCCGGCGCAGGCCAAGGCGCTCCTGGACTTTAGACGGTCAGTTGATGATCCTTTGATAATATAACTTTTATATCGGACCAATCATTTCTGTTTTGTTTATATCACAGCAAAGTGAACAAGTCGTATCGTGGTCGTTCCTGTCCCATTGTGGTGCACGGCAGTGCTGGAGCGGGACGCACTGGATCCTATATCCTGCTGGATCTGGTGCTGGGACGTATGAACAAAGGAGCGCGTGAAATCGACATTGCCGCCACTCTGGAGCATCTGAGGGATCAGAGAGCTGGAGTGGTGGCCACCCGACAACAGTTCGAGTTTGTGCTAATGGCTGTCGCGGAGGAGGTGCATGCGATACTCAAGGCCCTGCCAGCGAATACATCTGGCGAGAAGCGGGAGTTGGACAAGGAGAGTGGCGCAGCGAAGGAGCCGCTTAAAGAGGACAAGGCACAGGAGGCCGCGGAAGAGGAGCCACCCACCAGCAGCACCAAAGCAGCAGCTGCAGCGGCAGCCAAGGAGAAGGAGAAGAAAAAGGAAAAGGAGCCGCCGAAGGAGCAAAAAACGCCGGCCAAAACGGAGCCACAGCCGGCCAAGAAGTAGGCAAAAACAAATACATAAAAAAAACAAAACAAACCAAAAAAAAAAAAAAATGATAACAAAAACAAAACAACTTTTAGTTCAAATCACGTTTGTTGCAGCGTTTCGGGGGTCTAGATTTATTTAATTAGTAACTAGTGATTAAAACATATTTTAAACAAATTTATGATTTTTGGGTATAAGCACAAGGAAGGTTCGAAAAAGGCAAACTATGGTCGGCTAGCGTTGGATACACATTTAGTTACTAATACAAATTGAAAAGCCTAAGTTACGCACAAATGCACCAAGAGTTAAACAACGCCTGCAACGTTGCAGCATCGCTTGCCACATGGCCAGTACGCTGTTTCCTGTGCACACACCAGCCCGTGACATTTGAAATGCGTTTCTGGCGGCGGTTTTTTAAAGCGTTTCTGCTCGTGCGGTGTTCATCACTTAATGCACAGATTATATTATATGAAACATATATACATACAAACATATTTGAGTGTTATATACAAGAAATATTTATATATATCTATATACATCTAGTATATTATACATGTGTAGCTGTTAAGCATTTAAATTCGATTATGAATGCATTTTACCTTACGCGTTTATCGATGTTGGCATAAGCTTCATCTGAATACACTTACACTAATCGATGTGCTTGAAATAACCAGTGAGAAAGACAACAAGAACAACAAAATACGAACTGGCTAAGTGGTATACATATGCCAAGAGAGCCAAACAACAGAAACACAAACACAAACACACATAAAAACATACATGCATCCACAACATACAACATACAACATACAACATACATATACAAAATGACACATATGAATAAACTACATACATATAGGATGAATGAAATATTTGTACCTAAACAGAAACAACACAAAGTTCTATTTACAAACGCAAAGAAGCCAGATATAACTACAAGACGCTATTGATGTGTATGACAATTAATTATACAAGTTTATTATTATATATAAAAACAAATATATATATGTATACAAATTATTCATATACAATAATATTTATTATGAGTGTCAATACTTATATATCTTATGACTTATCGATAACTATACTATCTGCGTGTATCTTTGAACAAACATATTTGAATATTGTTTTACCAAACCATATGCGAATTATACTATATTCAGTTCATTCAATCCGATCCTAACACTTATAATTTACAAACGAAAAACGAAAAATAATTCTAAAACGCAGATCAATTTAGGAGCAGTGATTTCAAACAATGTCTGGGCCTCGTTTTAAACTCATATATTTCTCATCTGATTTTGTGGCAGCTAGAAGCGTTGGTCGCAAATTGTTTGGGATCGCGAGCTGCCCGAAAAGGATCGCGTTTAGGAGGGATTGTAACACACATATTAAGTAAAGCAACATCTAGAAATCGAAGCTTTAGAATAACAACAACAAAATTGTTTAATTAATGCTTTTGGAAGCATACAGATATACTAATTACAGAAAAACACAAAGCACACATACACATGACAAACAAAAAATACTATCAAACAAGATGAATCCATACTCAGGCACGACCCTTTGAATGTTTCAAAAGGACTAATAGCAAACGTAAAACAGGACTTAAAAAATGAACATATGGTTTAAATGCGGTTTATACAAATTACCGCATAACACGCTACACGATACACCACAAGGTACAGCCACAAAGATACAAATGACTTCAAGATACAGAATAATGACTCGAGATTACACAAACTAGTTAAATAAGTGCAAATTATTCAAAAACCAAAAAAAAATTTAAAAAAAAAAACAAACAAAAAACCAAAAAACGACGAAGAAGAAGTTGAATTGAGTTAAAGCAGGCACTAAAAATACTGCAATAAAAACTAAAAAAAAATAGCGGTGTAAGAATAATAAACATTTTCTGTAGCAGTTGGTGTTAAAGTACATAATGCAAACAAAAAGAAAAACCAAAATGAGTTATTGTAGTTTGAAATAAACTTTTTTGAAAACAAAATGTCAACTAAATAATATTAAGAAAATACCAACAAATTTAACTAGACGCAAATTTTATTTGTTAGCATTTCCTTCGTTAAAAATGAAATTTCATTAAAAAGAAAAACTACACACAACACAAAAGCAAATGAAAAACAATATTACAATAACTGTGGCAAGCCCACCAACAACTTCGGGCTTGCAAAAACTCCAAAAACAAATGAAAAACACAAAAATTTACTAACGTGGTAGAAAGTACTTAAATATTAATATATACAGTTTGACGCAAAAAATGGAAATTAATTTTTTCCGCGTGCATTTTTTCATTAGAGAGTTTCAGTGTTAATTAAATACAAATTACAGCAAAATATTTCCAAATGTTCTTCGACAAACAAATTAAATAAGTGTACTAAAAATATAAAAGAAGAAGAAACAACAAATCTCTAAATGTATTGTAGTAAAAAGCGTAAAACAAATTAAAGACAATTATTGATGTATATTTGACATAATAATAATTTATTGTGTAAAAACAACAACCATGCGTAGAAAATTGAACGGAACTTACATATAACATGAAAACTACTAAATTATATAATAATACAAGTACTAATAATAAAAAATATAATAAAAAAAATATGTATATATATATATATATATATATATAAATATAAATATATATATATGTGTATATATATATATACATACATATATATATATATATAAATATATTAGAAATTACGTCAACACTATATGCATACCATTCGTATGAGATTAAAGGTCAGAAACTAACTTATTATTTCCACATACTATTTCATTGATGGTGTAGATATACAAAATGAAAATGAAACAGCAAAACTTGACCTGCACGGACAGCTAAAAATTTAGCGCTCGACGCAACGGAACATTTTGACCCACGAGTTTTACTCGAAACACAACTCCCGCTGGAGTTCATCGTGTAATATTCACAAATAAGAAAATAAAAATATATATATATATTATGCACGTAAATAAGGGAGCGCATAGCCACAAGAGCTGTGTGTATTTAGTGTAAAAGCAACAATATGCCCAGTTCGGTACTTGATCCCAAATAGGGAAACTAGCATTACGCAACTTTCAAGAGAAGAGCAGATAATACGAAACGGATACGGACTAATTAAATGACAGACGAACCGGAAACTAAATGGTTTGAGTTCCTAGATTAACGCAAGCTGACTAAATGAGGAAATGTTGAAGAAAAAATAACGCTGGACCTGCTGTAAATACGCACATCTTAACTTCGAACAGCTAAACCTGACAAATACTGACGATAACAAAAAAAATTAAAAAAACAAATGGACGGACCCAGACGAACAACCGGACAACACTTAGTTTTAGGCCTACAGAATGAGATTTACTGGAGTTTTGTATACTTGAAGATTGCGTAGTTGAATGATTTGATTCGATTATAGTTCCGATACTGGTGCAGTATTGCTTATAGATTAGTGTGAAATACATATGACGTTCAACATGACTAAAAACAAATAATGCTACTACAATTAAGAACATACGTACAACAACTTCTTAATTACTTATATACATTTGTTTAGATTATTTTATTGTTTCGGTTTCTTATTGATCAAATAATATACAAATACAAATAAATACAAAAAACATATAACATAAAAATATATCTATAGCATACATTTATCGTACATTACAAAGTATGTGTGTTGTATATAAAAAAAAAAAAACTTATTCAGATACAATTAAATATGCATATAAACAAATAACAGTACATTTATATTATTGCTGTATGTTTCAATTGAATAATATAATTAAGCAAAATCAAATACCAAGCGCAGGCTTTCATACATTTTTGGAAAACAAAAGCAAAAAATTATATTATTATATAATTTAAGTGAAAACATTAACAATTATCGGTGTGTACAATATAAACATATATATGAATATCTGTTTAGCCACTTGGCAACAATTTGTGTTATTAAGCAACATGATTATACAAAATACAAAAACCAAAATTAAAAATGTTACCAAAAAAAAATTGTAAAATCCAGCAGAAAAAATTTATGCTGGCTGAGGCCACTTAAAATCTTAAATGTACTAACAACTTATTGAATTAAAAAAAAAGCATTGCAAAATAAAAAAAAAAAATGCGATACGATGGAGACAAAACTACACACATTAACAGAAACATGAACCAACATGTTTATGGACATACCTATTTGAGGATTTTTGTGCAAAAAAATAACTATGATATATATAAATCTATATAAATGTATACTTCAATTATTTACGACAAGTACAAGCATACATATACTACATATAAATAATTATACATATAAACACATATATAAACGGTTTAATTATTCAGCAAACAAAAAATAAAAACCAGTTTTGGATTTGAATTCTTAGTATAATTATCTCTAGCAGAGGTCACAAGAGAAATTTAGAGATAACGAGAAAACATATATCTAAATGTAACGCGCCATTGTGTAATATGCGCTACATAAATATATGCTATATACAGATATTTATATATATGTATATATACGTATATATATATATATATACATATATGTATATACATATATGTATATATACATATATATCTATATATATATATATTAACCTATATATAAACCTGGATGTATAAATGTAAATCAAAACGCTACAAATACTAATGCGAACAATTCACAACATTGATAAATAGCAGAGCAAGGAAACGAAGACAATTGAGTTTGATATAATGTCATCAATTATGTAGAACCGGTAATAATTATGATTATTATTATAATACAAACAACAAAATAATAAAGAAACCCTTAAAAACCAAAAACCCAAGACCCAAAAACAAAACAAATGCATACAGCAACCGCTCATTGAACGCACGATATTATTTTAGTGAGTCTAAATGTCTCTCCATTATATGGTTTAACTGCTTAACAAAGTAATCGAAGCTAATCCGATATACTACTACTGTAAAACGAAACACCAGTCAAAGTTCCAATACAATGTGTTGTACTCAATGACGTATAGGAATCAAATAGATGTAATTTCCGCTTAGTCGACCCTCCACAAATGGAGTAAGAAACTTAAACAACATATGCAAACATACATTTTACAATACTGCACTGCAACACTATTTACATTCTATATATCCAACAATTTTGTTCAAACCCATCATCAGAACATATTCACACTTGTTTTTAGAGTTTTAACATGGTTCAGCATCAAAATTGAAAGAAATTATACCTTTGTTTCAGCTTTTCTACAAATTATTGACAATCGATTAACTTATATGCAAATTCGTTGAAATTGGCAAGTTTCTCTAAGCTTTTTAATCCCATACCTATATTTTTAAAATCTTTTCCAACTTGGCTTTAGCGGAATTTTTTAATTCTCCAATAAAATGGGTCGAAATTGGGACTGGAAAAATTTTTGTTGTTAATTGGCATTACAGAAATTATTGGTATTGGTTTTGAAAATACTTTTTAGGAAACTTTATTATGCATCTATTGGTAATTATAAAAAAGTGTTTGTAAAACTTTTTTTTTTTTTAATTATATTTGAAACTCTATCTTAATTTTTGTATAAGAAAATTTATACAAAAATGTTTACAATAATATACTTTACAAATTCGTTTCTAAATTGGTATTTAGGAATTTTATCGGCTTTAATATACGAAATAGCTGAAGTTGGGATAGAAATTCAATTTTTACCCCAAATAAATTTACCCTGTACTAATTTTCCAATTGGCAATACGTAAATTAACGTTGATTCGTTTTTTTTCAACACAGAGTACACCGAAT